AGGATGAGATGATGATTATGACATTATTTGGCCATGAAAAGCCCGTTCCCCTTTCCACAAACTGCCCGTCCTTTGGAAGGTAACAAATTGGTGCTGTTTCAGCAGGTGAGAGCACACAAACCAGGTCTGGACTCTGCGCTCCTTCCAAAGTAAGAACACAACAGCTGGCTTGGGTTTCAGCCTGGCTCCCGTTCAAATGCCCAGTGATATTTAAAAAAAAGATAATCTGGAGCCCGTTGTGGGCAGCAGCAAAGAACCTTTAAGCACCATGAGACAGCAGTAAATTAATGACACCCTTTTTACACTGCACGGCTAATGTTTCGTGTTGCTGTGTTTTGTGTCGAATCACGGCTTGAATATCCAGCACAAACAGCGATTGGCTTCACGGTTTGCTACTGAAACTGAGTAATTTGAGAACACCATTGGCCTCTGTGTAAACTATGCCGTATATATCTATATATGTGTGTACACACAGCAGACAACTTTCCAATGTGAAGTTCCTCTAGATAATAATAATAATAATAATCCTTGCGTTTGACATAGTGCCTTATCACATCTTTGTGATAAGGTATACACCATCACAGGTATTCTTAAAGGTCCAATCATGCCCTTTTACATCAATAAACTAATCAGCATTCTGCACACTAATTAGCTCCAGTCCCTGGACTATTGAGGAAATCTCACTGCTGATCACTCGCCAATTACTCCGGCCGAGGACGCTGCTGTAGGCAAATGGCTGCCACATTTTGGCACCATAACAACTGGGCCCATGTACCTTCATGAAGAACATTTTCAGCTCTCCAAGATACTACCCCACATGGAGGGCGCTGTATAAATGCCAGTTGTTGTTGCAAATTGTGTTGCTCTCAATTGCTGTCCAGGATGAGATGAGCTAAATTTATTCCAGGATCTTAAACTTGTAACATAAGGCCATTAAAAGGTGCTTGTGCCCAGTGTTTACACACCACACCACACAGTAACAACATCATGTTATCCCTCAGCAGTTATTAAGGAGTGCCGCTTATCAGCCCAAGAGCTTACATGACACAAATTACTGAGGCAATATTGCATACTTGTGCGTTTAGGAAAATAGCCCATCTTGCTAATTTGAGCTGTTCCGTCCATTAGTGAGTTAATTGCTAGATTACCACATAGTGTGAGACATCCACACACACCAGGTTACATCTCTGTCCTCCGCTGTTTTGTTTCACCCGCAAAATATACAGTCGATTCCCTTTACAGTGTATCCTGTGAAGCGCTTTGAGACGTCCCAACGACGTGATGATGAGGCGCTGTATCAAGTGTGAGGATTATTTATTATTATTCTGCTGAATCATCTGATCTCCAATTGGCTTTAGCGTCGCTGGACTGAGTCAGAGAACGGTCAACACAACCACAACAACTCGCAGGTATATAGCGCCCCTTTGCGCAGGGCAGAGTCTCGGAGAGCTAGACAGTGGCGGAGCCTGACCCCAAGCTAGGGAGGGAGGGAGGGAAGGAAGAGGTGACCGTAAGCATGGTCGAAGAGGAAGGTCTTCGGGCCAGATCTGAAGCAGGGGGTGCGGCAGAGGGATCGGGGAAATCAAGGTCTCTGCTCTCGATCGATTTTAAGGAGATATTTTAAGGGTTAAACCCAACCAGAAAAAAAAACAACCCAAGCCCATACTGTTAGCTCTGCAAACGCCGATAGTGACTATTATTTACACAAGTCTCAGCCGCGTAGCGTGTTCTGTGTTCAAACCTGGCTCTGTTTTGTGTTCCCTAATCCGTTTACACAAAGTACTGCACGTTGGACAGTTCCCAAAATGAGAATCTTGCTCGTCAAGTTCAATCTGAGAGAGAGAGAGAGAGAGAGAGAGCGAAGTGGGGGGGGGGGGGAGAAGAAAGGGAGTTAAAAAAAAATCTATACTTGGTGTGGACCTTGGAATGAAGAAGGCTCGCCAGTGTTTATCTCAGTGTGCGATGGCTCACTGCTTGGCAATGACTGGGCCATTCCTCGGTTGTATTGGCCGGTGCTGAGAATACTTAAACTCCAATTTCAAAAGGGAACTGGATAGTTCCTTGAAAAGGAAAAAAAAACAGCACGGTGATGGGTTTCCGCTTGTGTCACCGACATCCCACTGACCCACAGCAACAAAAAAAAGAGCAGAGATGTTAATTCGAACGGGAGATGTGAAGCAGGGAACCTGATTTGGCCCCCACTTTCCATCACTTTAAACCAGTGGCAATCACCGAGGCATAGACCCCTTCCGTCCAGTCAACCCGTCTCCTCAATTAACACGGGCCGTGTAGGTGCAGCCCATCGAAACAGCGGTTTAATTAAACCACTACAGCAGACACGCAATCAGTCACGTGAAGGCTACCTACGGTTTGACCTCACCGTAGTTGGATTTGTGCAGCAAGTCACTCGGCTCCACAAAACCTCTCCATCGCTGCACGTTTGATGGCGAATCATTGGCACAAATCACGGCAACTCGCCGCCAAACCCAAGTGAATGAATGCCTCGCCGATGGGGTGGTTTCTCTGCCACCGTCTAGTGTCTCGGGGAAGGTGCAGGTGGGGCAGTGGGGTGGGTGGGGCTCTGTGCAAATGCAAGTTGTTGCCGTTGCTGCTGCTTGTGCAAGGAGGGCATTCCAGTGACCCACCAGCCCTTCCCAGTACAACAGAACGGATCCATTTCACCCCGACTGATGCCAGAGACAGACGGAGAGCAAGGCCGCAAGTGAAGAGGAGGCGGCGGGAGACAAAGCAGACAGAGCAAACTGGAGCAGGCCGACCGACAGCATTCCTCGTTCACCACGTTGCTCGTGCCACGACCGGCAACACCAACACAAATTCTTAGCGCAAACATCTTTGCCAACATAAAGAGACCAGTTGTTCTGCGTCATTCCTCTGCCCAGTCGCCGGGGGAGGCTTCAACACAATATTAAATAACACAGCGATTTTTTGCTTATTCACTCGCAAAGTCAGCATTAAATAACAACAATAACAGCAGCATTTGACACAGAGCCTTATCACGTCGTTTGAGACGTCTCAAAGCGCTTCATGGGATACGCTGTACAGTGAATTGATTGCATATTCTGTGGGCTAAACGCGGCAGCCAATTGCACACAGCAGCGTCCCACAAACAGTCGTGGATCGAGCGACCAAATTATTATTTTGTTTTACAAAAGGAGAGAGTGGCTTCACATCCAAAAAGATCAATCTGTCTTCACTGGTTAAAAAAAGCTCAGGACAATGCATTTACCGTGCCAGCAACTGCAGACAACAGAGAGAGCATTGCAGTCAAGTGCGGGAATTATGAAGGCAAATCAAAGTTCAGTAATGATATTCAAGATTAGCGTTGCTAGATAAGGTTTGTGACTAAGACAAGAGACAAAGAAACTAAGAGGGAGAGAGAGAAAAACAGAGATAATCATTAACCGGGATATTAACAAAACCAGGTCAGTTCGGGAAAGAAAGCAGGTCAGGTGTGTTTGGGGGTCAGGTAGATTTCGTTGGTTTTAACATAAGGGCCAGGAATTTAGGAGTTCCAACAAGTATGCAAACCCCCGCCGCACTCAAATGAGTCTTCACAGACGAGTTGAGAATAACCAACCTTTTTCTTTATTGATTAAACGTTGGAGAGAGTCTGCCCACTACACTTCCTGTGCTACAATCCTCAGCCACGCACACCCTATCTATTGACACATAACTTTCATCCTGAGGGCAACAAGGAACTCGCATTTTGTATACAATGCTATTAGCCAACTCCATCGGCAAGAAAGTCAAGCCTCATTACTGGTGATTCACACATGAGTCACTTCGATACCCAACCTGCTGGAACCCTTGTCGTTAGCACCCACTGCTGCTATTAGGAGAGTTAGCTTTACTGGGGGTATAACGTCCCTCAATCCACGACCTTTTGGGCTGCCGCGTTTGGGCCACAAAATACAGTCACTGCCCTTTACCGTATGTTCTGTGAAGGGCTTTGAAACGTCTCGAAGACGTGATTAGGCGCTGGATCAGACGCGAGGGATGTTATTATTATTATAATATCGCTGTCATTTTCCTAGCGAGCAGCAGTCAGGAGAATCGTTGGGACTGTGCAGGCGGACGTCACCTCACCACACGCTGCCAGCAAACACCAGCCCGTCATTGTTCACCGGCAGCTTCTCTGCGGACAATGTCCATTGTTGAGGAAATTAACATTGGTGTCCAAGGTGACAATGGACAGACTGTGTCTTGTGGATGAAATGGAAGTTCTGATCGACTCGAATGTCGTTCTCTTGCTTAATAAAGTTCATCCGAACCCACAGTGACATGACTGCGCTTATCAGTCCTCCAGAGGAGACGTTAAGCCGAGCTTCCTGCCTGCCTGTTCCGATGAACATTAAAAGATTTTGCGAATCTATTCGAAAAGAGGAAAGGGGGTTTTCCTCTCTCTTCCCCCCCCCCCACCCCTCCCGGTGTCCTGACCAACAATCCTTTAAATAAAATGGTTAACTCACTCCACGGCTGTTTGTGGGACGCATTGGCTGCCACGTTTCGCCCACAAAATACGCAGTCACTCGCTTTGCAGTGTATCCTGTGAAGCGCTTTGAGACCTCTCGAGGACGTGATAAGGCGCTGTATCAAATGCCAGTATTATTATCATTATTATTATATATTAATCCATGTAATGAACTATCAAGAATCCTGCCTGGACCGGACTGCTTTCTGATACCTTACCCATTCATTCCCTTAACCAAGGGTATTTTCTAAGCGTTTAATTTTCCATAATGTGTGTCAGCTTTAACACTGCTTTAACACTGAAAATCTCCTGACTCATCCATCCACAAAGCACAACGAGAAATCAGACACACGGACGGACAGACAGACAGACAGACACTCTACAAACCTTTTTTCTTTTTTTTTAAAAAAAGTTACTGCAAAAAAAAACTAAAGGAAGTTCTTCAGTTAACTTTGCCTGGACTCTAAAACGCCTGAGAACAAAGATCAAATACCTTTCTTTTACTTACCTGCGTTTCCTTTGCCTGAAGCAGCCAGAAACTGTGTCTTGGGTTCCAGAGGAGTTTGTGTTCCCAGCGTCTCAGCCTCTCTGTCCGCAGAGCAACATCTCTCCCTGTAGCTTCCAATGTCTTTGGGTCGCTTCTGTGTCGGTGGAAACTCCAATTGAGGCAAATGCAATGACTCGACTTGACAGCAATCACTCACTCACTCACTTACTGGTGACTGGGCTAAAGGCAACGCTTGCTCCCATCGCCAACTCCCAACTTCCCTTCTCAACCAACTCAACAGGTTGAACTGCTTTCCTGATCTGCCCAGGTGATCACCAGCAAAGCAGCGGTTAACACAATCCTCTCTATCTCTCTCGTTCTCGCTCTCGCTCTCTCTCTCTCTCTCTCAGATCATCACAGGAACTGCTCAGTGTCTTCTCCTGTACCCACAAAAGACCCCCCCCCACCATCTCCACTTTGCTTTTCACCCTTAAGAAAACTAATCTTAGTTATAAAGTTTTTTTTAACTTTTCATTTAGTGTCTTTTTTTTTTGGGGGGGGGGTGATAAAATGCTGCCCTTTAAACCCACACAGGCTTAGCTCGCAGCTCTCTGACTCTCTCTTTGTGCAAAAGTAGCTCTCAGTACTTGCAGATAAAGCCAACAACCCACACTGAGCTAACTAGCTCCCCCCCCACACACACACACACACACACACCAGTTTTATTTAGGCTGGCCGGTCGTCTTAACCCAATCTCACTCCACCTCCTGCAATCCTTTCTGCTTCTCCCTGAGCACGCACGAGTGAAAAAGTTTTATTTGTGTGGATTCGACGGATTATATCCAAGACTTCAAGGTGCTCCTAAGGGTTAACGAGCTACCAGCCGCAAACAAACAGCGTGTTGTTGTTAAGATGCTCCAGAACTCGACTTGAGTTTGAATTGGACCATTGTTTCGAGGGTAACCAAACACTGAGCAATTATTCTGCCTCTTAGTATAAATGTAGTCAGTCGGTCAGTTTGTGGATGTGGGTTGGAATATTTCATTAAGGGATATTATATTTAAAAATGCAATTTCAAATTAACAATTAAATATGAATAATATAATCACAATAATAATCCTTGCATTTGATATAGCCCCTTGTCCCATCTTGGAGACGTCTCACAGGATTCACTGGAAAGTGAATTAATTGACTCTATATTTTGTTTGTGGGCGAAACTCGGCAGCTAATTGCACACAGTGGTTCTCCCACATCCAGTCGTGGATTGAGTAACTGAATAATTCTTAACCGAACAAATTAAATGATGTACCTTTTTTGGGGGGGAAAAAAAATCCCTTGTGATTTATGTTCTTCCTGAATTTATGACCTTTTGTCAGGGAATTACATGACATAAACATTTCCAGTGGACACAGAAGGGTTTGTTAGGTCGAGTCATTTTTCAGTGGCTGCTGGGAGAGAGTCTGATAAGGGTTCTGTGCAAAGGGAATTAAATCTGCAAACCTTCTGGTTATCCAAAATCCAGGACAGAGAAACCCACCAATTTAAAATAGAAACAGAAAATACAGGAAGCTGATTGATAGGGAGAGATAGGCTGCTCTTTAAATCAAATCCATTCACTACACTATTAATGTAAAATATTAACAGATCATAGTTGGTAAACTATATGGCACTGTTCAAAGAAAAAAGTGTTTCTCCCGTCGTCCTCGTCGACAATCCCCCCTCCAGAGAGAAAAAAATAAGTCACTCTCTTCCCAGCTGTTTGTTTAGGGGCATTGTTTTATGTGTAAATCGGTTGCTGAGTGCACCAACAAACAACAACAACAAAATTACATTTGTGTAGCGCCTTTCACGTCGGGAGGACGCCTCAAGGCGCTGGAACACACAGTCACTACACTTGACAGAAAACTCAATGATGTGCTTATGAGACATTACACCGTGATATGTCCCCATATCAAACGCAAGGATTATACTCATTGTATGGAGTGAAACAGAGCCAAAAAGGTCAGGAATCCGGTCTGATCTTCAATCTGTATTGAGGTAAGTGGTTTAATAATAATCCTTGCATTTGATATGGCAACTCAACACATCATTGAGACGTCTCAAAGTGCTTCACAGGATATGCTGTCAAGTGTAGCGACTGTGTGTTTTGTGGGCGAAAATGCTTTCTCTGTCACAGTTACTGGGATCAGTGGGCTCCTGGTTTCGTATGGAGAGGTGCGGAGTAAGTGGAAAAAATACTAGACAATGAGTTGGTTTTTCCACTATTCCCTGTTCAACAGCACAACCGACCTGCCTGGTCACCGAGTCAGGTGTGATGCCTGGGTAAGGATGACCCAAGGAAAAACTATAAAAATGGATGAACCATTCAACAGTAAAATTGCTTTTAACCAACTGATTTCCTGCAGTCGGAATCCCGACCCCAAAACTGTCTGGAAAACACGTGCGCATAAGAACCTAAGCTGTTTCTGCAGCTGCGACTTCCCAGCTAATTTACAATTAAAAAAAAACTCTGCGTCGATAGCCTAATTATTTACTCACACCTACACGAATGCTCTTCAGCCGAACTGCCCAAAATATCAACATTGCGTCTGACGTAAACAACTAACACGAAAAATAAATGGGCAAGAAAAAAATTAAACATGTATGTGCATATATCTTTTTTTTGTGTGTGTGGTGAGTAAATATTCAGCCATTAGGGCTGGTAATTTAATAGTGCCTGGCACACACAGCAAATTGGGGCACGGTAAAGTGCAAACACTGAGATCCCATTCAGCTCGGTTCAAAATCCTACTGATTCCAAAATAAATTGGATCTTGAATTATAAATGTGGCTTCTGTTAGACAGCAGCAATCTAGGACACAGCCACCACTTGTCTAAGAGGGTCTCACCCGATATTAGCCCACTCAACAGTGCCTTCAATCAACAGGTTTTATGAGATACATTAACCGGACTGTCAGGCACCTTATGATGATTAGTTGCACGCTTCACTACAGGAGCCATTCAAGGAGGAAATCAAAGGGGATGTTGTGTCGATTGGATCTTGCACAACCGACCACCTTTTCTTGCAGGGAATGGAAAACAGGATGCAAGTTTCAAAACTGCTCGGCTCCTGAATTGTTCCCCCCACTCCCCCCCCCACCACCACCCACACACAAAATAATTCTCTTTGTTTAAACAATCGGTAAAAATGTCAGGTACAATGTCAGGATCGTAATAGTTATTGCGGGGGAAATGGTAAATAACGTCGAACACAACGGATACCAACTATGCGGAAATCAGCGGCCGCGTTTGGCCCAGAAAGTACGCGGGGTCGTACTTTACATCGTACGCCGTGAAAGGCTTCGAGACACCTCAACGACGTGATAAGGAGCTGTGTCAAATTCAAGGAATATTACTATTGCCTGGAAATGGATTAAAAGCTAATGAGCCTTTTGTCAGTGTCGCAGGACTGTGGGAGTGAAACTCAAATCAGCTTTTGTTTGTGTCTTGGGTACGAGAGTTGGATTATGGTCTCAGATTAGTATCGTAAGGGGATCAGTTGGCACAGTGGAGTGGAATGCTGATTTTTCACCTCTGGGACCTGCTTTTAATTCCAGTCCAGATCCCTTGCCTGAAAACATCTTCAGTCTAGTCAAGACAACTGGAACTGTATTGCTTCTCCCACGAGGGTGAAGGAAGGCACATTGCTGGAGCCTGAGCAGAAGGGATTTATTCTGGATCCAGATCATTTCTGACCAACAATGAAGCAAAAAGAAAAGAATCATTTCCATCCTTCGCACAGTTACCTCTCCCCTTTTAACATTGATGTGCTTCCATCATTACTTCGCACACGAGATAAATCGGTTCAACTCCTCATCCAAAGGACGGCACCTCCGACAATGCATTCCCCCCCCCCACCCCTCCCACCTGCACTGTACTGGAGAGTCAGCCGAGACTGCGCGAGTTACAAAATCCCCACGTGGCGCTTGAAGCTCAGAAGCTTCTGGTTACTCAAGATTTGCTCATTTTTAAGAGGCAACAAACTTGTTGAACCGAGTTTCTGATGAACCTTCAAAGATCCTGATTCAAAAATGGAACGGAGTTTCCCTCTCCTCGTGTCCGTACCAACAATCCCACATACTGTACAGTGTATAGTTTGGGACACGACATGTCAAGCGATTGCCAGGAGGGTGGAAGGCGAACGAGATGGATCTCAGTCTTCTTTCGCCAGGAAATTCTTATGTTGTTATGTGCTAATCCTCCACAGATAAAATTAGTCATTCACTTCATGGCTGTTTCACGGGACATTGCTCTGAGCAAACTGGCTGCCGGGTTCACCTACAAATGAATACTTTACAGAAATGTTTTAAAGCGCTTTGAGATAAGATGTTCAACATCATAGGAGCTTTATCAAATTCACAGATTATTATGCGTTATATTTAAGTTGGTATCCCAGGTACCAATTTAAAGTCGTATCAGTTACTGACTATACATTTAATACGACTTAAGCAAAGCATGAGCTATACAATAAATAATCCTTGTATTTGATATAGGGCTTCATCACGTCTTCGAGACGTCTCAAAGCGCTTCACAGAATATACTGTAAAGTGAATTGACTGTATATTTGTGGGCGAAACGTGGCAGCCAATTGCGCACAGTAGCGGCCACAGTGGTGGATTGAAGTGACCAATTTATTTTTATTTATTTTTCTCTTGAGGGATTATTATTAGGCGTGTGGAGTAAGGAAACTTGCCCAAGGTTTCGCCCTGTCGGGAATTCAAACCAGGTCTCTCGCTTGTGAGGCGAGTGCTCCAACCACTGAGCTACAGGACTAAGTTTATGTCAAACTTGCATAGAATATATCTTGAACGGGACTAGGGTAGATGTACAACTTAGGTGATTGTACGATTTGTACAGGTCAGACTTATGTGAGTTTTACTGTATTTCGTGCCCTACACAATCTCACTGCCACACTGCAGTTTTCTCTCTCTCTCTCTCTCACACACACACACACACACAGTGCTTCTCAGTGAGTGAATGAACTCACTGGAACTGGAATGGAGCTGCTGTTCTGCGTTCCCTCTGGTACATCTGTGGTATAATAAGGTGCTGAAAGCTTGTACTGTGTTCTCAACGTTTCCCATAATATCACAGACCTTCAAGTGTTGGCAAGACTTTAGGCTCCAAGCCCAATTCGAAGCCTGTGTCATCAATTGAAATCTCACTGCATATAGGGCAGATTCTCTGTCAAATCACTAATATTTTACCAATGCTCATATCGTTCCTCGGACGAGGTATAAATTTTAGAGAGCCGGCTTGCTTCTTGATATAGACAAGAGCAGCAAGTTTAATCTCCATCTGGCGTTGCCCATTTATCCGATTGCTGTAGACAATCTGTCACTAAACAAAAGTTCCCTTAGAAACCAGGCTTACCAACAGGAGATACAAACAAACCATCGATTGCAGTCTCTACAGTCACCGTCACTCCAAGGACAGACACTGATTAATCCAATTCCTGCTCTGAAAATATATATCGGCTTCTCCGACCTTACCTGAACGTGTG